GAAGAACGTAGATTGCTGGAAGAAGAACGTAAACAATATGAGGAAGAACGTAGAGTACTAGAGGAAAAACGCAGACTTATAAGAGAAGAACGAAAACTATTCGAAGATGGGCGCAAACAACAAGTTCCTAAACAAATATTCAGAAAAAAAGAATGCATAATATGCACTGAGAATGTCGACTTTGAAGCTTTTTTGAATATTACTGACCAGTGTAGTCATAATATACATAATATATGTCGTGAATGTGTAGGCGAATACATCAAGCACGAACTTGAAGATAATGGAAATGTTAAAATCAAATGTCCGGAAGTTGGATGTAACGAAATATTAAATCAGAATGATATAAAAAAATTCGCAAGTGAGGAGTCATTCAATCGGTATGTTTATTGAATCTCAATGCGTATGTGGAGTTCTTTAGAAAGTAAAATAAAGATTTTGTATTTTTACTGCAGATATGAAAGATTCTTGCTAAATATTGCATTATCTCAAATTTCTACTTTCCAATGGTGCTTAAATCCAAGTTGCGGATCAGGACAGGATCACTATCAAGAAGGTAGATTCCAATATAATTGTAACATCATCTTTATTCTATATTTATTTTAAATTATTATTTCCTTAAAGATGTTCCGATAATGGTCTGTAATTCGTGTGGGAAGAGATCTTGTGTTGTACATGGACTCCCAATTAACTTTGAGTGCGAAAAATGTAGAGAAGAAGAACATAAAATAATAGAGGAAGGACTTGAAATAATAGAAGAAGGACAACGCATATTAATAGATGAGGAAATAGAAGAGGAAACACGCAGACTAAGAGAAGAGGAAGAACGTAGGCAAAGAGAAGAAGAAGAAGAACTTAAAATAATAGAAGAAGAACAACGCATATTAATAGAAGAGGAAATAGAAGAGGAAACGCGTAGACTAAGAGAAGAGGAAGAACGTTGGCAAAGGGAAGAAGAGGAACTTAGAATAATAGAAGAAGAACAACGCATGTTAATAAAAGAAGAAATAGAAGAAGTAGAACGCAGATTAAGAGAAGAGGAAGAACGTAGGCAAAGAGAAGAAGAAGAACGTAGGCAAAGAGAAGAAGAAGAACGTAGGCAAAGAGAAGAAGAAGAACGTAGGCAAAGGGAAGAAGAAGAACGTAGGCAAAGGGAAGAAGAAGAGCGTAGGCAAAGGGAAGAAGAAGAACGTAGGCAAAGGGAAGAAGAAGAACGTAGGCAAAGGGAAGAAGAGCGTAGGCAAAGGGAAGAAGAAGAGCGTAGGCAAAGGGAAGAAGAAGAACGCAGACGAAGGGAGGAGGAAGAACTTAGGCGACAAGAAGAAGATCGCAGGCGAAGGGAGGAGGAAGAGCGTAGGCGACAAGAAGAGCAAAGAAGATTAGCAACATTTCAAAATGCTGAAAATGAATCCGAATTCTACGTAAATCAACTAAAGCAATGCCCAAGGTGTAGGTGTAGAATTGAGAAAAATGGTGGATGCAATCACATGACATGTAGAAGACCCGGATGTGGTCATGAATTTTGTTGGATGTAAGTAGAATATAAAATAGTTCATGAGTGACGCCAAAGGAAAACCTTATTTCAGATTTTAATTTATAATTTATTGGACTCGATTATACGAACCTTTCAATGATCAAGCCCTGTAAGCTATAAATTTAAAACCAGTGTCTAGCCTTTTTTCCTTTGTGACATTTATTATTTTCTCTCCGTTAACGCTAGAAATTTAATATCTTTTTTTTTTATCCAGCTGTATGGGCGATTGGGGAAGATGTGAAAATTACAACTGCAAAAATTCTTGATGTGACCTATACTATATGTCGAAAACTACAAACTTTTGTCATAATATTGGATATATGACATTCGGCGTACAATATATATAGTCATTTATGATAGGATATAAATTTCTAACTCATTATTTATTATATTTCATAAATTTTGGATAAAAAAACAATTATTTTCACTTATATGTATTGAATTACTGTATTGGTTTGATGTGTTTGACTCAATCATCATTCTAGGAGGGTCATCAATAAATGGAGTAAAATAAAATTAAGCTGTTTTTTTTAATACTCAAGTTGTAGATTTCCTTAATTCATTATGATCAAGGTGCGATGTAGTGGTGGTTGGACCGCGGTTGAGATGAGTTGGATGGTCAATTATGCTTATCGGTTAATCAGTGAAACCAATATTAAAGTTCGGATAATATGATACTGTAATGGGCAAACGGTGAGTGCTATCAGCGGTTCGCATAACCGTTACTGGGGATTAAAAGACAGACATGTAAGTAAATTGAGGCGTTAGATTTGACCGAGTTCTTATTGTCACTGGTTCTATTTCGTTAACTTTCAATATCTCTCTTTTTTATACATTTCTCTGCGACTACATCAAAATAAATTAAACACATCTAAATATAGACAATTTAATTAAGCATGGTTACATTAGATTTCACAAAGTCATTGTTGCCGCTCGCGGTCATTAATTTGACCGGTCGTGCCAAAGGATAGATCTCGCGCTATCCAGCGTAGATCAATCACGTGAATATAGACAATATCGTTGTTCGTTTCATGGCGCGTAGGATCTCTCATACTCGTACTACCTCCCATTGTATGAGGTCACATCTCGTGATACCTGATGTAGGTACGCGAAGATAGTGATCTCTTATTTTACCCTTTACAATACTTAGAAATGATCAACACCTCTCATTGTCCACATCGCTTAATCTCGCGTAAACTATTTCATATAAATGGTAAAATTAATGAAAAACCTGCTTGAATTTTGTTAAACTTTGAAGCTTTCAGAAACTTTATAGATAAGGAATTTGTTAAATACCATCAGAAAGATCAACTTGTTACTATTGAACTTGTAGATGGATGCAAACAAGAAACAAACAAGGTTGCCAACATCAAAAATCTAAGGATAGGAACCTATCACACAATAGGATTGTTTGCTCAAGTTATTAAACTGCAATAATATAATGCTATTTTAAAAAAGCCTTTGTTGTATCATGCCTATTTATTCATTGATTGGAGGAGCAACAAGCTTACCTTTCAATATGGATCAAAAACTATTGTTATAAAAGCTAACTCCACTGTATCATAATATCTAGGCTATAACTCTATCTTCATCTTATATCAACAACTTGTTAGGATATATGACACTGCTGCATTGTTTGCTGTCTATATTACCAATATAGAGAAATGTAACCAACTGTTATATCCACTTGCTATTCAAAAATTATTAAAGGATTTTTCAATATCTTTCCTACCAATCTGCTGAAGGAACTGCTATCCAAAATAAAAATTAACCATATCATTAAACTGGTACCAAAAACCAAATCACTATCTTACTTTATTTATTAACTGTCATATGAAGAAATCAACAAACTAAAGCAACAACTTGAGAAACTCTTACAAAAAAACATATCCATTTGAGTATTTCATTATTTGAAGCACCTGTACTTAAAGATGGGTCCCTAAAGTATTTAGCATATAAAATTTACGTCCCTTTATGTCCACGTCCCCTAGAGGACATAATTC